TTCACAACACAGAAAAATAAGCGTGGTCAGCGAAACAAACATACACTTAATGTTACTAGATTACAATCAAGTAATGCGTGGGCAATTGCAATAATGCACGTCGCGGATTGAACTTTTAGTATCACGTGGTCGGAATTTGTAAAATTGCGTATTTGAATCGTAATTCTCGCGTGGACCGAAAACATGTGGTTACACGGCGAGCGTACGAACAAGAAGAACAAGAATCGATCATGGCGTCGATCGTACCGGCAAGCGCGTGGAGAGGGGACCGCGTGGGCAAGGTGGGCCCGGGAGGTGCTGCCGCTATCGGTAACGACGCACCGACGAAATACTTTGGTTGTCAACTTCGTGGGCTGAGATAATTTGGGGAATTTCGCCAACAAACGGTCTCCAACAAGGTACGGTTAACTCCCCCATCCTGTTTAGCATATATTTAAGTGACCTACTACACATGTTTGACCTGAATGTAGGCACAAACAAATTCGCAATTGCGTTTGCCGATGATTTATTAATATATATATACGGAAACAAACCATCTATAATACAAAAGTTATTACAAGCTCTGTTTAACCAAATCTCCATGATTATTTCCACACCTGGAAGCAAAAAATAAATATCAATAAATGTGAAACCATTTTATTTAGACCGTACGTCTCGCGGTCTTCCGATGCGAATCGCGACGTCCGCAGACATCACAACCAGTTTCATCTCCATGACCCCAAAAATGTCAATATAATTATTCCCCATAGAAATGTAGTAAGGTACTTAGGGGTGTAGGATAAACTTCCCGCGTATTTCTACCTGCGGGTTACGGTGAATCTTTCCCCCCTTTCCCCCGTTTGTCGAGGGGGAACATATATAAATATTATGGCCCAGCAGCAACACAAATAGTTCACATACGCGTGCCAGAAGACAAATTTGAATAAAGAGCAAAACGACTATTGTAAACGGGTACCCGAGTTTTAATCGCCTCCTAGACGCCCCCGATGACCCAAAATTCCTCCACAATGGAAAAAATCATTTTAAAGAAAAAAAAATGTCAACCTCCAAAAAGGGGTTTTGAACGCGCAACCTCCAACAGACTTCCAGTCCGTTACCTTACTCACTCACCTACGGCGCCGCTGTTGTAAGCCATCTCTCACAACTGAAATACCATATACACAGAATTGTTTAAACTGCAATATCTCGAAAACAAAGGCCCATTCTATCAAAACCAATGAAGGTATTATAACGCTGTGTGTATACTACAACTTGTACCTTCTGCCGATCCAAAAGCGATTTCCTCACCTTGGCGGTTCCCTCCTAAGCAGTGACATCGGATAATAGAAGAAGGATGAAATATATATAATGCTTTCTCAGTCTGGTATATTTGCCTCGAAATAAGCGAAATAGTGCGAGAATGAGAGGGTATACTATATTCTATTTGTCTCGATTTTCCTAAAGCTATTATAAATTTAATAAATAAAAGTTGGCTGAGCCGAACCCGCAGTTACCTTCAAGACGAGGCAGCTCGGCGTCAATTTGCCGAGCGTACGTCCACATCAGGCATGGGTCACCAACACAACCTTTAAGGTGAATTCTAGATAGGTAGAAGGAATGTGAATCTGGGAGAAGGAATAATAAAGGCACAATTGGAACGGAAAAATAGGATTTTAATGGGCATAAAAAACCTCCACTCAGTGAGTGGAGGAAAAAGCCGTCAAGGAGAAAAAATATAAATCTACAAGTCAAATACAATTTAGAGTTGATTGTGATCGCATTCGAAAGCATACATATTATTTTTAAAGGAGCGCTCGTAGTAACTACTCGAGTTCCGGAACACCACCAGCTCAGTGGGAAGTACTGTTCGGATCTTAATAACCTGGGAGATGCTCCATGAAATCGTACCTGTGCAGACAGCGCGACCCTGACGGAACGGGTACAGCCCTCGTCGCGTGTTGCCGTTTGGGCAATGAAATGCCGCCTGATTGGGTGCATCCCAGAGAGAGATTGGCAGGGCAGATCTCCTCTACGAAGGCAGCTAGTGCCTCGTCCAGCTGTGTATCTGTCCAAAAAGGCCACGGCCCCGCAGGAACCCGAACTTCGCCCCCATCGTCCCAGTACCGTTCCCTTCTTTTTAAATCGCCGCACACAAGCCGCCGCTCAGCGCATCGCCATGAACTATTTTTTCCATGACGAACGCACTCGTCCCTACATCCGGGCCTCAACCGATTGCTACTGATATCACACGCCTCCTAAACTCCCCGCGTGTTACAAAAATATGTTGTGTATCTCGGAAGCGCGTAACGCGCGAACACTATTCATAAAATAACATCCTTCCTCGGCCGATCACTTTATGATTTGTCGCTACTGGGGATCTCTCACTCGTTTCTCGTGTTCTCTATCGTCCCGTTTCGAGAACAAAGTCGAGCCGAATAGCATACCTGATCCGTAATAAGCAACTGTTCGGTCCCGAACGAGTTGCTTATTTCGAGGCAATTCTGCATAAGATTGCAAAATGTGATAGTTGTTACGAAAATTGCGAGTCCGGAGAGGTCTGCAGGGAAGCACGCTCTTTGTTGCGAGTACAGAGTTTATTACACACAAAAATACACAGAAATGATATTCACAATGAAATATTTACAATACAAAGCAAGTGTGGTCAGCGAAACGAATGGTTACAAGTCTATTTACACTGAATTCGAGAAGACACTGATTTAAGCGAGGTCAGAAGAGATATTACACAGCGCGGTCAGAATAATTCCAAGTCGCGTGGTCCAAACGGCGTATCAAACTGAGATTCGCGCGTACTAAAAGTATCTTAATCGATAAGCGAGAGCGGCGTATACACGTGTTTACTCAACGAGCGATCGATCAAGAAGAAGGAAATCAATCATGGCGTCGATTGTGCCGGTTCCGCGTGGAGAGGGGACCGTGTGGACAAAGTGGGCCTGAGAGGTGCTGCCGCTATCGATAACGACGCACCGACGAAATACTTTCGTTGCCAACTTTGTCGTTCTGCGTAGACTTGGGGAATTTCGCCAACAAATGGTGAATTCTACAAAAACGAGCAACTATGAGTAGCTAATTTTTTTTCCATGTGATAGGGGGTCCTCTTAATATTATATCGATTCAGCAATCTAAGGTGAATACTGTGGAATCCGGTACTATATTTTAAAAAATATTTCAAAATTCTGTACTGGGAGGTGAGAATATAAGCAAACGGCTTTATTTATTTTATCAAGATATACTTACTGCTAGCAATCGTATCCATACTTTCAATTTCGCTAAACAGTATAAACATTACTTAAAAATAAAAGTTTCACGATATCTAAAAAAAGCGCGATTTTACTCAGAACTGCGCAATTGAGTGCAAACTTTAGCAGCTTTAGGTTACTATTAGCGTAGTAGCTAGCATAAAGTTAAAATTCGTTTCTCTTTTGTTCCGGCTATTTTTGCCGCTTTTTAGCCTAAAATACATCACTGTGCATCGGCCTATTTTGGGACTGAGGTCCCTTTTTGCAGCTAGCAGTTTAAAACTGTTACAATCTGTTTTTATCGTGAAATGGATCTCGATTAAATATACGCGGAACTTTTCTAGAGTGCTAACAATGGCTAATGCCTCTAACTCGTACGAGTGATAAATTGACTCTTCCTTTGTTGTTTTGCTGCTAAAGTAAGAAACTGCATGAAGTTTACCGTTTCTACCTTCTTGTAATAATGCTCTGCCTACGCCAAGACTACACGCGTCTGTATGAATTTCTGTGCACGCTTCCGGATCATATACTTTTAATATAGGCGCACGAATCTTCTAAAATAACTTGCTAGACCAGCAAAACTACGTACCGTTTTGACATCAGTAGGTACCGGATATTCCTTTACAGCAAGTAGCTTTCCCTCTTCTGGCGCTATTCCTTCTGCTGATATTTCAAACCCTAAATACTCGATTTTGGTCTGTAAAAAGTAACATTTACTCAATCTTAAAGTCAGATTCGCTGCTCTTACAAGAAAGGCCGCGAAGTGGCCCCCTTCGATTTTGATGAAACTTCGTACATTTGTTAAGCAGGTAAAAATAAGGGACACGTATTTTTTTATATCTGCTGAGACGCGACTTTAAGGGGTGAAACCACCCCTCAAAGTTTCGACCTGAAACTGCTATTTCGAAAACCAAAGAAGATACGTGAAAACTTCTAATGGGCGGATTTAATGGTTTTTTATATACAATGATATGGCATTAACAGATTGTCGAAAATACCATTTGTTTATAACAAAAAAATTTTTATAACATTATTTTACAACTTATTTAAATTTATGTAATGACAAAAAATGTAGAGCATTTTATTCCAAATCCATTGATATATATGTTTATGAAATTGCCTCCTACCGTTTCGTAGATTTTTATTATCGCACGAATGCCCGCTGAGTCAGCGCGTGATACTTTAATCGTACCTGACGTTATACCGATATTACTTATCCGCGTAAGTGGAAAACAACTATTTTTATAACATACAATGTTTAATCTTGTTAAATTTGTATCGCTTGATATAAAATAATTAAAGTTATACATACTCGATGGTAGATGTATTAAATTGATTATTTTAATATGGAACAAGTGATTTGTATAACTTAAGGAACATACTCATGACAAAAATGATAATCATCGAAGAAATGCTTCAAACATAAAGGCTTTCGGTACCAAGCACAAGTAATAATAGCCATACGTGGTTTATTTTCAGATAGATAGTAAATACTTCTAATTGTTTATTGTCTGATGCAGCTTTTTCCATATGTCCACTACAGTATCCACTCAACGAATGGAATAGTAAAGCGATTGTTTATGAAACATTTACTTTAAAAATAAAAATATCTTGTAACCTATGTGACCTTCACTCGTATAATCTTATAAATTTTTGTTATTTATATGCAGAACTCTCACCAATCGCGCTTCGACCACGTGATTTATCGTATAGCAATGAGCCAGAATACGTATATAAAATCGGTGAATGCAGTGACTTTTTACTTTGTCCAGTATTTAAATTCAAGACGTTTAGTTACCGAGACGAATAGAAGTTTATTATTGCCAAAACTTACTCTGCACAATGGTTTATATTAATCCGATAAATGTGCTTACTTTATTATCCATAGCTTTTAATTCTGTGGATAAAAAAGTGACGCCTGTTAACAGTGCTGAGTTAGAGTTAAAAGACATTTTATATGACATAATCGTGCAACGTATGGAAGATCCAACATTCAACATAGAACAAGAAACATATTTAGACATTGAAGAAGAGTTTGCAAACGGTGAAGATCCTGATGTAAATTTCCAGTGGCTGAAAGAAATGGAAATGGACCTAACGGAAACGGACTTTACTGATGAAGAGGAACAAGATCAACAATTAGAAAAATGTACGCTCTCCGAAGCACCAACCAGTTATGAATACAGAAAAAATGCTGTGGAATACTGGAAGAGTGGTAAGACGAAACGTTTGAAATTAGAAACAGTGCAATCTAGATTCAGAACGGTCAAGTCTGTTCGACAGTTACGCAGATGGGCTGCCCAAGTCGAAATGGGTGGCACACGTTTAGATAAATTACTGCGTATTGCAGATTATACATACAAAAATGTTATACAAGCAATACGGTCAAATATAACATGACATAGATGTTCGACGGTGGGCGTTACAAGCAAAATTAGAAGAAGATTTAGCATCATTTATAGCTGGTCGTACATGGCTGTTAAAATTTAAAAAAGCATATGGCATAGTATCGCGAAAAGTTACAAAGTTTGTGACGAGGCCCAGTATCGATAAAGAACCAGAACTGATTTCAAGTTCTCATAATTTTCTGGAGCGTGTTAAATCCTATACCGATCGTTACGGATTTGAGAATTTGTATAATTTCGAACTAAATTAGTATAGAATTGCACAGATGTATAAAAAATTTATTTTTATTTACTTTCATATTTCTTTTACTTCAAAACTATTTGGAATGCACTATTAATATCAGCTATCGCTTCCTTAAAATAACAACTTTTTAAGCACTTTTTTCAGCACTTTTTAAAATTAAAAAACTAGTCTTTCTTGGGGGTACCAAAATCAGTTCTTTTTAGAACTAATAACATCAGCTCTTCTCAGGGCTACCATACTCTTCTAAACGTGGAGCAATTTTAAAGGAACAACCACTTCTATTTCAACAAACCACTGGCATTCCCCACGCCTGTCGTATTTACCTCTTTTACGATGGAGATTGCCGGTACTTTTATTTGCCATGCTTACTCATGCAGCGATTAACAAACTATAGTGTAAATTAATTGAATAATATTACACAAATTTATATCAAAATGAAACGTAGACATCGCTATAGAGGGCCAGCAGAGTCGAGATGTGAGTATAATTTGCAACGTAATAATATTTACTATGACGGCGAACTTAAACATTCCAATTTATCCGCATTCTTTGTCAAGATGTATAGTTTACTTGTACAAATTTTTATGAAAATAGATCAACATTTTACAAAAAAAAATGACAAAAATAGATTATTTTTCAATATATTTTTTAAACAAATAAATTTATCAAAAAGGCGGCTACATAGAAAAATTTGCTGTTCAAAAACACACAAATTCCATTCGGAATTTTTCGCCTACACCTAATAGTTCCTGAGATATTCAAGAAAATGTGTTTTGCAACCCCAACTTTGGGGGCTATTTTCACCCCTTCAGCATGGACGATGGCCGATAAAAAAAATACGTGTCAAATATTTTTTTGAGTTCTATATCATACTCAAAGTGCATCAAAATCGGCGTGTGTCGATTGGGTAATGTCCCTTGTCAGTACGGTCGGTGATATTGGGCTTGCATCTATCAGTGTTATTGTCATCTCCATTCTGTTGGTGCACCCTATTTGGTAGACATTTTTAGCAATTAGATCTTTAAAATCATTTAAAACATTTTTAACCAATTCCGCATCCTCTCCTGACAGATCGGTGTTAATCGCTTCCACTGTTACGGCCTCTTTATTGACCTCCCTTCTCACGACTCCGACGTCAGTCGTCACCGACTCTCCTCGGGTAAGAACGGTTCCTTCCTTAATTGTTACATCGCCACCTGAAATATTAAGTATAAGCACAATAGACGTACCTTCCTCATCCGTCTTTACCAGACACCTAGGTATCAGTTTCCCATCTTCGCGCAGGCCGCCTTCTATACAGATGTCCTTGTCGGATATTTCCGTATGTGCAGCAATGTACCCTACGTAATTATTTGAGATGACTGTTGCTTCCTTGACCCAGAACATCGTTTTCTGTTGTTGCTCCGTGTCTGCCTCCTCGACTGGTCGTATCAGCAACTCATTCGGTCTGCTAACGATTTCCATGTGGTCTTGCTCGGTGTAAGGGTGATCCACAATTAACGGTATCGCTTGGGATTCTTGAGGAACTACGTGGATCTTCACCCTCGCTGTAACCTCGTGAAGTGTCAACGATGCCGTGAGCATTCCTACTGGCGTCACCGTCCCGTTTCCGTATCCAGTTAGCTGGTCGAACGATCCTTCGAGGTAGGTTATCTTCAGTTCGTCGGGAACGTCCTGTCTCAAGGCCACACAGGAGCTACCGAGATCGACGTAACATCTGACGTACTGACCGTTGATGTAGGCATCCTTAAAATATTTCTCCTCGGAGCCAATGTGCAGCACCTTGTCCGCTCTGCTCACACCTATCGCCACGTTATTATTTTCTCTGTGTATAGGCTTAGCGGAGAACTTACAGTCCCTTGCGATATGTCCCGCCTTTTGACATTTATAGCAGACGACGCTTTTGGATTTTGGGCATCTGTTTGCTGCATGATCTGGTTCGTTGCAATTATAGCACGTCATGGTAGGCTTCCTTCCAGCATTAGGTCTATTCTCTTGACTACGCTGCGTGTATTCCTGTAATAAGTGGTTAGCTCTCTTTAAATCAGGTAATAACAAGCTAGGTTTTGGGTATTTTGATAACGGGCCCGATCTCGATATAATCTCGAAATCTCGTGTTTCTCAAACCAGCGACGATCCACTCCACCGCTTCTTGGTCCGACATGTTTGCTTTATTACATTTAGCTAATTTCTCGTAATAGTACTCTATTACATCCTGTCCTGGCTTCCTAGTGCATTCTTGTGCGTCCAAGCGTCTACTCATATGGCTGGTTTCACATGGGAAGGCTTCCTCTAGTAACCCCTTCCATTCGTCCCACGTTCGCTGGCCCGCAGGGAGACTGTCCCTCCACTTTTTTGCTACCCCTTCTAATTTGGTTAACGCGTAATGTTGTGACGGTCCTGCGGTGGACCGGGGAGGAAGGGTGGCTCAGTCGGATGTTCAGGGTTCTTTGCTGAATGAGTACTCGGTGGGTATTGGTAGTAACGTGTTTATTCGCAAAATCTTACTGACTACGGCTACAGGTGGCGCGGTGGAAATCTTGAGCTCTTACAGGTAAAGATGATCGCGACAACGCGGCGAGGGCTTAAAGCTACGGTACGCGGTTCTTAAGGCTATGGTACGCACGGTGGGTTCGGTACTTAATCCTACGCGGGTCATAACGCTACGGATTCGCGGCGCGGTCTTAAAGCTACGGTACGCGGTTTGTACAGGTTCGCAGTGGGCGAAGACGGAGAGTGGGGTCTATCGGAGCGGTAGTGGCCGTAGTAGTAGTACCCTCGGTTAGGTGGCAAACGCCGTCCCTCGGACCTGACCAGAGGACCTGTGTCCCGTCTGCTTGTGGCTTCCGCCGGGGCAGAACGGAGGCCAAGGATGCCAAAGATGCAGGAAGGCCAGACGGCCCTTCCGCGGGCGTAGGTTATCAACCTTTCACGGGGCGGCCGAATTTCATCAAACCGTCCCGGAGTCGTGGAGGAAATAGGAGTACAAACACAGGGTTCGTGCTCAATCGTATCGGCGGTTGCAACGGTGCGTGTTCGGTACACTTGCTTTCGATCTCGGTACGGAGCCGACTCGCTTTCTTGGCTCTGCGGGCCGTCTTATATTCGACCAGGCGGCTCGGTTGCCGCGCGGCCTACGGTGGTCTGTAGGGGGGTCGGGTTGGCGTACCCGTTACAATGTTTTACGGCTACATCGTCCCATGAATATAAATTTGCATACTTTTCGATCTTATCGATCCAGTTTTCAATAATGATATCAGATTTTATAGAATCAAAATTTTATATACCAGGTAATACCTCGTAAACATCCCTGAAGTGCCGCATTGTCTCTGTGCCTCTCCTCTGTTCTATGTTGTTGTTCCACTCAGCTACGTCAAGGATCGTTCGGTTCTCTTCGGTTATTTTCGATCCTTGTTCTTCCGATTCGGTATTGTTACCTATACTAATACCGCTCTTGCCCTGGGTTTGTAAACTGTCTTCGTCTATCCCGAATTCCGAAGCTAACGTCTCCTTCGAAACCGTTGTATGCTTTGATTTTTTGCCTACCTTCGCGACCGTTCTTTAGTTCTTCGTTTCCCTTCTTACCCCCCGTAATCATGACCGTTTTTAATTGTACATTCTTTGAATCTTGCAGCTTTTTAATTTCGTTACACTGTGCTTTATATTTTCCGTATATGATTATGCGTAATTTTCCTTCGCAATCGCTCCGCCGCGATCTCGCTGCTCTCAAAATGACGATGTTCCACCACACCGGAGTTGCGATTTCTCAACATTCCACCACGTTTTCTTCAGACCACGTTTGACCACGTTTTCTTCGGAGTCTCCACCGCACTTCGAATTTTCTTGGTCACTTGGATTTTGCCGATTTAGGGCCGTACACGAATCCCACTCTTTTATTAAATTCTTTTATTTAAATAAATTTAAATATACGCACCTGAACCATTTGTTCAGTGTTTGTTCAGTACTTTTGCAATGATATTTTGTAATTAATATGCCTAAACTCTTTTATTAAAAATGAAAAGTATGTTAAAATTCAAAATAATTTAAGTTATTTTTCAAAATAATTTAATAAAACATTAAAGAATTTTACCTTATAAATAGTTCGTCTTATGTTTTTTTCTTTCCGATTTCTACACTGTGCTGTGATTTTATAGCACACTAGAAGATACCCGCAACTTCGTCCGCGTTGAATTTTTTACTTTAATATAACTGCAATATTTTATGTTGACACATTTTTGTAAACTACGTTTTTGGTTTTGCCATCTTTTGCTAATACATGAAGATTTTGTGGGCTGGATACTCGCGAGCACGCCATATACAGTTGAAAAACAGGCCCATGTGAAAAACAGGTTTTTTCTAAATGTACACTAGCTACTTTAAGTGTTTGTCCTTGAGCTTTGTTAATAGTCATCGCGAATGCTGTTTTCAGAGGGAACTGCACTCTTTTAAACTGGAATGGCAAATCCGTCGGAATAATCGGAATACGGGGAATCAAAATATTTTCTCCTTTTGCAATTCCAGTCATAATTATTGCTCTTATAATATTTCGCCCGAGGTGTGTAATTT